ACCTTATCTATTTCATGAGAAATCTATATGTAGGACAGGAAGCAACAGTTAGAACTGGATATGGAACATCTGATTGGTTCAAAATTGGGAAAGGAGTACGACAAGGCTGTATATTGTCTCCCTGCTTATTTAACTTATATGCATCATGTGAAAGGCTGGACTGGAGGAATCCCAAGCTGAATTTAAGATTGCCAGAAGAAATATCAACAACCTCTGATATGCAGATGATACCACTCTGATGGCAGAAAGTGAGGAGGAATTAAAGAACCTCTTTATGAGGGTGAAAGAGGAGAGCACAAAAAATGGTCTGAAGCTCAACATCAAAAAAACTAAAATCATGGCCACCGGGCCCATCACCTCCTGGCAAATAGAAGGAGAAGATATGGAGGCAGTGACAAATTTTATTTTCTTGAGCTCCATGATCACTGCAGATGGTGACAGCAACCACGAAATTAAAAGACACCTGCTTCTTGGGAGGAAAGTAATGACAAACCTAGGCAGCATCTTAAAAAGCAGAGGTCCGCATAGTCAAAGCTATGGTTTTTCCTGTAGTGATGTATGGAAGTGAGAGCTGGACCATAAAGAAGGCTGACCATCAAAGAATTGATGCTTTTGAATTGTGGTGCTGGAGGAGGCTCTTGAGAGTCCCCTGGACTGTAAGGACAATGAACCTATCCTTTCTGAAGGAAATCAACCCTGAGTGCTCACTGGAAGAACAGACCCTGAAGCTGAGGCGCCAGTGCTTTGGCCATCTCATGAGAAGAGAAGACTCCCTGGAAAAAACCCCAATGTTGGGAAAGTGTGAAGGCAAGAGGAGAAGGGGATGACAGAGGACGAGATGGTTGGACAGTGTCACTGAAGCTACCAACATGAATTTGACCCAGCTCTGGGAGGCAGTGGAAGACAGGAGGGCCTGGTGTGCTCTGGTCCATGGAGTCACAAAGAGCCGGACATGACTTAATGAATAAACATCAACAAAAGCATTACCAAATCAGATTTAGAGACAACAAAATGCAAACCATCCCTTTTTAAAACCTCTCCTGGACAGTCTGTCACTAAGGGAAAGCCTGCAGGAAGAAAAAAGTCTTCTCTTGCTGCAGGACAGCAATGATGGCACCAGCCTAACTTGGAGGGAATTCCAGAGTGTGGGAGCAGTGACAAAGAAGGTCCTTTCCTGTGTTCCCACCAAGCACAGCTATGAGCATGGTAGGACAGAGAGAAAGGCCTCCTCTGATAATCTTAACATACTCATAAATGGCGATATGGTCTTTGAGATAACTTGGACCCAAGCCATTTAGGGCTTTATAGGTTAAAACCAGCACTTTGAATTGTGCCCAGAAATGGATCAGCAGCCAATGGAGCTGCTTTGCAGGAGGCACAGCAAAAGCAGAGCTATCTTAACAAGTTGTAAACAAGGCTGCTTTATAATTTCCTCATCTCTCTGCTGATTCCACACTCTTCTTTTGCTTTATTCACCTAGCTGTCCATAGCACTAGAACAGCATGCCTTTAAAGGAAAAAAGAAGGGAAAAGAAATAGAAGAAAAGGGAAGAAGAAATACAAGCATCCAGGCACCAGGTTTAGGGGAGAGAGAGGATTCAAATGACAGTCAATTTCTCCACTGCCATGCCTCTCTCACTGCTGTTATATCTAGGTAGAAGTCACTTCAAATCCCTCCACATCAGCTCAAGTCGTCAAACTGCTTCAAACAATGCAAATACATAAGATTCCTGAAAAGCAGAAGTCCTAGCAGTTGAGGAGAAAATTAAAGCTTGCAGAGGGAAGTTAGAGACTTATTCATATGGAATTGCATGTCATGTAGTTAATGGAGAATAATGTGAAACTGACTGTACCAGACCCAGAGGATTTCCCACATGATTTCTCAGTGTAGTTTCCTCCTCAGTCAACTGTTGACATCAGCTGACCGATTGTTTATATGTCTTTTCATCTTTGACTTTGGGCTGCAGCTTTCTGTTTTAAACTTCCTGTAATTCTCCTCATCCCAAACCAGATGTACACTTTTGCTTGGATGTTCTGTAGCAAGAATTTATTCATCATTCAGTTGGTGTATCAGACAAGCTTATGATTCTGTGACAAGAATGATAAAACAAAAATTGCATTTTTGGAGGGAGGGATTCTGAGTAAACCCTTCCTGGTTTTCCAAGCAGAAATAAGTGATCAGTGTGTGCCTGCTAAATTCAACTTAGTCAGAATATAGCCATCAGATTGCAAGTAGTTTTTGGTGAATTCAACACTTCTCTTACTATGTGCGTTAAGAACACACTAAGGAAAGGGGTAATGGATAAAATTGCTATGGAACTTTGCATGCACACTGTAAAGAATTGAAATGTTTGTTACTTACAAAATGGTTTAAAGTTACTAGTATGCCTTTTAGTATGCCTTAGGTGTTTGTTTGTTTAATGTTAATAGGAAACATCTGTATGTGAGGGAGAAGGCCTTCTTCCCCCAGAGAGCCCTCTGAAGGTGAATGGATCAGTAGGCAATGCCTCAAATGAGCCAGAGAGCCTACCCCTTGAAGTGCCTGAAAAACCAGCTTACCATGGATTCAGACGGCGATCTAATACCCTGACCCATGTGCCGATGGAAAGCCAGCAGTCTTTGGAAGCTGCTGAAACATCGCCATCTGTCCACCAAAAGAAATTTATGAGGTATCATTCCGTGAGCACAGAGACTCCTCACCTGCAAAAGTAAGATTAAGCTTAAAGCAAGATGCTGTTGGGGAGAAATATGGGGATACTTTTTCAAGGTATGTTAATTTCAGGGAAGGGAAATTATTTTTTTTAATAAGTTGGTTTATTATAACCGAACAGATCATAGATATAAATTTTAAAGTTCTTGGACAATTCGAGAAAATATTCTTCCCATAACTACATGCTCTGTGAATGAAATCTGTGGAAGTGGGCGGTTGATCAACCACGTAGTCACTTGCAGCTTTGGAGCCTCTCTCACCTTAGTGTCCTCACTTAGCAGCTCATTTATACTGCGGTTAATGACTGAGAATGTAGAACTCAGACATAGGTTTGTACTTGCTGGTATTTGTCTGTTGTGATCTCTGGGGAGAGTGCTTGTCCCCAAAATATATGTGCGGGATTTCCTAGTGAAGCAGCAAATGGTAAATATCTGCATAAACAAAGGCTAAATGTCTAGCCAATTCTAAATATGTTAAAAGGGTAGAAAATACTTTTTCCAGCTCCTGAAATTGAACTCTGTCTCTATCCTCTCTCTCTCTCTCTCTCTCTCTCTCTCTCTCTCTCTCTCTCTCTCTCTCACACACACACACACACACACACACACACACACACACACACACACACACACACCCCATTCTGCTTTCACTATGTGGCTTTATTTTTTTAACAGAAGTGCGGTATTTTTTTGCTGACACTTCTCATGCCTTCTTCTTGTGCTAACCTAAATCTCTCATTCTTATTCTTTTTATGCTCCTCTCCCCCAACATTAATGTGCACTCTACCTAAACTCTTCTACAGCTGTGCTAGAAAAGCTGCTTTATGATAATTGTAGGATACTGCACAGTCTATTAGAAATTGTAATTTGTACCAAATTTATGTGTCTTACTTTTAGTAGACTAATAAATAAAAAAACCCAGGCTTGTCTTATGGTTACTGAAAGAAAGAAAGAGGATGAAGAGTAAAAGAGCAATTTCATGTCCAAAGTTTCCTCTTCTGTGTTTGAAGCCTTGGAAAGAAACCACTGCTTGCATCTAAGGGTCCGATTTTGTCTATGAACATGTGTTGGAGACCTCAGAATCCTTGTAATTTTAACTATCCTTCCTGTAGTACAATAGTGGGCAATATATTGCTTATGAGCCACATGCAGCCCAGGGACATTTTGTGACCATCTAGTACTTTGATGGTTAAATTATTAAAATGAAATTCAGTTTGCTTGGTAAGTCCCCTTGTGCCCTTCAGAAGTCATGGGGAAGTTCTGCTATGTTTTGTGGGGGCCCTCAGCGCACTTTGGGGTCCCATGCTCTCCCCCTCAGTTTTTGTTTTTTAAATTGATCACTAGAGTACATGCAGTGGGGCCTCTCTAGTTAATAAAAAGGCTTTTCTAGTTAAATCCATTTTCCCCCCAGTTCACAAAAGCCCACTGTGTTAATCCCACTGCATTAACTTTTTTTCAAATTTAAGAATTAAATACATGAACTTCTTTCTTTCGCCACATCCCTCCCCTTTCACTCTTCCCTCTTGGGAGTGCTACTTTGAGGTTCCTGGCAAATCTGAAAAAAAATGGCTATCAGTGCATCTAAGATCAGCTGCCTTACTGTAGCACAAAACCTTTGTAAGGTGTTAGAAATGGAGCCCTCCTTGCTCTCTCAAGGATTGAGAAAAGGAGGCAGGCAATCTTGGCTGTTTTAGGGGCAGAATGCAGCTAAGTAGCAACATTATATTCTGCTGTTTAAATTATTGTTTTGTTGACCTATATACCTTTCACAGTGGTGGCTGGTACCCATTAGTGGGGCAGAAGCACAACAGCAAGTGGCAGACAAAGCCAGGAATTTTGGCATATTGCTGACTGCTGACATTTCCATCTTCTTTTCTCCCACCTATACACTGAAATAAAGCAGAGAGTTGGGGAGAAAGGACTTTGACTCACTCACTGTCTCTGATAAGGAGGCAGGAAGAAGTGAATGGGCTGGTATTAAATTAAACCTGCGGTATGGAATACCCCAGTTGCCCTTGTGGGCCATCCACCACTGATCTTTCTATTAAGGATCTTTGAATTATACCAGGACTGATTCAAAGATATTTATATTTGTGCTTGGGCTGTTGCTTATCTATGTATCCATGGCATTCTTAATAAAAAGGCAGGGACCTAGATGACATTTTTTTTTAAAAAAAATCTTTTTCTTTGATTTATCACATTTCTTCTTTCTTTCTTTCTTTCTTGGCTTTATTTGAATCTTCCATACTGGATCCCTCCCCATAAACTTTGAACACAGCAGCTCAAAAACTTCTTCTGATCAATCACCACCAGCTCTTGCTCCTTCTTCTCCTCCAGTATGTCTTAATCCCTCAGGCTCCTCTCCTAATCTATTAAAACGTTTTAAGTATAATTCAAGTGAAGAGCAAAGCAGTCGTACTGGGCAAAAGAGGTGAGAGAAGAGATACATGGCAATTGTGTGTGGTTGACAGTAAAACAGTTTATATGCATCTGTCTTTTTAAGTACATAATGTGGATGGTGAGACTATCAAAAAGTATGGTATTACACACAGGAAAAAATATACTGGCCCGTAAGAATGGGAAATAATTTTGTTGGATTCATTAGTCTCAACAAAATTAGTCTTTCATATCTTTCACCGCTTGTTGAAAAGGAAACACACCTCATCTCGAGAATCTACTTGTTTAAAAGAGTCTAAAAGTTGGTGGAATAAAGTATGCACAAAAGAAGATAACACATTTTATAATGTGAATGGCTGAAAATGTGCATGGTTGACAAATGCAAACAAACTAGTCAATGGGAGAATGCAAAATATGTAAATAAATGCGTGCGAGAGTAAAAATAAGTAAATTATGCTTATCAATTTTTGTAATTAAAAAAAACGTCCAAGGACAACAGGACAAGGAAAGGAAGAAAATGCAGGTGGAATTCAGAACAACTCAGTGAAACAGAGACTAAGAAATGTTCACACCAGTATTACGCTGTCATGCTACTTACATCTGTTAGGCTTACATGATCTAAAAATTGAATCAGAGTTAAGGAGAAGGAAGATGTAAAGCCAACTTAATTAAATCCTCATTTTATAATAGCCTGGTGAAGGTTCTTACTTCACTGGGTAAGAAAATAACAAATGACAATTTACAAACCAATATACTTTTTAAACTACTGGAAACAATGATTTCCCATTGCCACTCCCTGAAATAAACTGCAAAAGTCAGAAAGATTTCTGCTGAATAAACCTCTAGGAGGTGATCTCTAAATATGTATATCTGAAATCCCTTGCAATGTTAGATTTAGATTTTTGTTGTTTGTGCGCTTTAACACTTAAAGTATTGTTCCTGATTTGATACTAACTTCTTTCTGTTTTGTGTTTCTGATTTTATTTGGCATGTTTCTACTTCCTCATTCTGAACTGCCCCCTTTCAACTGCACTCTCAGCACCTCCTACCGTTCTGCTTTCCGGAAAAAGCTTCACTCTTCCTCTTCTGTACCAAACTTCTTAAAATTTCTGGCTCCTGTAAATGAAAATAACGCCTCTAACTTTAGGAACAAAAAAAGGTACGATTGGTTTAGAAGCGTTGTTTCATAAGCCAATATTATAGCCTACAGTTGGAATTATTGGTGAAATCTAGTTGGTGCTATAACAATGGGGATTTCATTAGATACCAAAGCTGTTCACTTCAGTGTCTCTCATTTCTGTTTATACGTAATCATCATAATTTGAAGACCATGACGGTTACATGATGATGCTGATAATGTAAGCTGCAGACCTTATTAAATAGCTTTCAGTTGGCATGTTTATGATTAAAATTGGTTTGAAAATCAAAGGTGTAATATTTTAAGTTGTCCATCACCTTGTAGATTCAGCTTACCTCACAAAAATAAATGTATTGTATATTTTTTCAGCTGTGCTAGCTTTTTAAAATGCATTCTGCATGCCACTACTTTTATTTTGAAGGAAAATAAGCTGCTGAATCCTGATTTGGTGTCATGTTCCCAATGGAAGAAAATGTGTATGGGTTTTCTAATAACCTCCTCTTCCATACACACACTTAGTTGCTATTTTACCCTGAAGTGTTGTTTCACATGAAGAAGAAGAAGAAGAAGAAAAAAGAAAAAGAAGAAGAAGAAAAAGAAGAAGAAGAAGAAGAAGAAGAAGAAGAAGAAGAAGAAGAAGAAGAAGAAGAAGAAGAAGAAGAAGAAGAAGAAGAAGAAGAAGAAGAAGAAATAATAATTGACTCACATGGTGCTCAGCAGAAAATATAGAAATGTACTTGGAAACTGTGAAGTAGAATGAAGTGTATCTGAAAGGGAAGTTACCAGTAGGATGCAATGGCTCCTAAGATTCTCATCAACACACATCTGTTCATTGCAATGTTGTTGGCTATTTGGAAAAACGTTATTCTGTGGAAGTGTTTACAACTTTTTTGCAACACTAACTAACTGGGCTCTTCTTAGAAAACGAAGGGAGTGAAGAGAAGTCTTTTTGCCACAGAGATTGGAATATAAGCCTGAAAGGAGAAAATTTAGGAGAAAGCCACCTGCCTTTTCAAGAGCTTTCATACTGCCTCACTCTCAGTGCTCGGTTTTAAGTCGGTTTTAAGTTATGGCCAGAGGCAAGAAACTTTTTTTTCATGGAGGATCTGGGGGGAATACAGTGGTGCCTCACTAGACAGGTTCCCCACATGACCGTTTTTTCACTAGACCTTGACTTTTTGCGATCGCTATTGTGATTCGCAAAACAGTGATTCCTATGGGGGAATTTTGCTGGACAATGTATGGTCCCTGCTTCGCGAACCGATTTTCGCTAGACGACAATTTTGACAGCTTCCTCCGCGCTCACAAAACAGGTGTTTTCGGGACCTAAGTTTTGCAAGACAGCAATTTAAACAGCTGATCGGTGGTTAGCATAGCGGCTTTCCTATGGCCGATCTTCGCTAGACAATGACGATTCTTCCCCATTGGAATGCATTAAACAGGTTTCAATGCATTCCAATGGGGAAATGCTTTTCGCTAGACAATGATTTCGCTAAACAGCGATTTCAGTGGAACGGATTATCATCGTCTAGTGAGGCACCACTGTATTATTTTTGAGTGATATTCCCATGGTCTCATCTATGGTAGTGAGCAAGTGGTAGTCACCATGGGGGAACTTAGATAATCTGAGGGCAGGACCAGGCTGAACTCAATGGCTGTGTTTCTTGAATGTACCATGTGAAATGAGCTAGCAAAAGACAGGAACTGCTCTAAAACAAAATATGAAAATAAACCTTGTGGTGGTTGTGCTGCCACTGCTGAGAGAGCGCTTTGGCTTATGCAAACTGTTGTACTCTGGCCGTGAAGTCGAAATAATGAGGAGTGTGTTTCCTAATGGATAGTCAGCACTAGACAGTCACCCCACTCCACATGAAAGAGATGTCAGTGGGATCCTGGAAGTGAACCCAACGTGCACTGAAAAGCAGAACAGCAAATAAGAGGTAGCCAGCTTTGAGCACTTTCTCATATATATTGCTGAGTAAAACCCTCAGAGTAGCAAGACATGTTAGTTGCAGTGCTATGTTTTGCAATCCCACCCAACCCATACAACCTGGTTATACAACTGTTGTTCTGAGAGAAAAGCAACTGGAGCAGTTTCCCAGGCCCTGCAAAGCAAACTGGTTCTTTATTTCATTTCCTGTGCATACCATTGGCCTCTGCCACACTGCTCAACAGAATTCATGGTGTTTTGTTTTTAAAAATCCATAAAAAGAGAAAAAAATATGTATGTGTTTTAGATGCTACTGAATCTCAATGCATACTTGTGACATTATGGAACCTCTTGTGACAAACCCAGACCTACTAGGATATGCCACAGTTTCACTAAGCTGCCACCAACCATTCCCTATAAGAAGTCACACAGACCAGGGATGGATTTTCAACAAATAAAAGAATAAGGTTTATTAAATAACACACAGGGAAAAATAAAATGATCAGGTGAATAAGATACAGTAACGTGGCTTAGTCTCAATCGTACATACACACAGTTTGGTTCACACAGAACACTTAACTTGAAGCACAGACCCTGAACCTATCAGTTCTGGCTAACCATACAGACACCTGAACCTATCAGGTTGGTACTGACTGACACACAGTAGTACCCTGTCTGACACACAGACTCCCACACAAGCTTCTTCTCTCAGCTTCTCCAGCTTCTCCTTACACGCTCCACATATATATACAGTACAGCCCCTCCTCCTGATGTCCCGCCTTCCACTCCCCATAGGATGGAACTTTCCCTCCAAACCCATGACAGACAGGTAACATCAGTGCTGTATGTAACACCTCTCTCTGACCATAGTGACATAAATATTTTATATAGTTGTTATGAAACGGAATAGACGCTAGTTTGAAGTAAAACAGTTGTTTAAAGCATTGGTATGTGTTTAGTTGGAAAAAGCAGATTAAATGGTTTTTGTCCATTCGATCAAATAAGATGGCTGTAAAATGCATCCTAGGAGAAGGAAAACTCTGATTTCAAACCTCCACTGCCTTGTGGCTATATCCACTCATGGAAAAGGCTTCAGGAGTTAACTTCGAGGCAAAACCCGGAGCTGGAGTCCCGAAGGCAGCATGTCTCGTTCTGCCAACTCCTGTGACATTGCTGGAACCAGTTGTATTGGCTCTTGCCTTTCCAGTGGACCATTTCAGCAATGTGGAGAGGGGGATCTGCTGCTTGGGTAACAGCCTATCCTCCATATTACCTTACCTGGGCTTCATGCTCTGGAGAGGACACTCCTCGATTCAGAGCATGTTACCATAGTCTCTCGAGACAGAAGGATGTCTATGCCTATGCTGAAAATGCATCCTGGAAAGCCTGGAATTGAGGGAGAAGTTTGCTCATTACCTTGACTTGTAACCTAACTATAAGGGAGTTTAAACCCCTTAGTCAGGGAAAACCTTTCTTTATATCGAGGCAGCAATAGAAATAATATTGTTTATGCAGAGTAATATTTATCTGGGGAAAAGATTGTTGCAGTGGGAGAAAGAACAGGGAAGACTTTCAGGCCAGCAGCAGAACACAACCAGATGACCAATGAGACTGAGAGGTCCTGGGGGGGAGGAGGTGGAATTTGGAGGAGGTACTAAAGAGAAGTCCAGCCTAATCTGTATACTCTTATTTACATGTAAGAAAAACAAAGTACATGTATCATTCTGGGTGGTCCCAGGGCAACAGGGAGCTGAAAGCTAAAAGTCTAACATATAGTCCATGCATGGGATAATTCTCACATTGGGCTCCAGCTTTGTACACAAATACATGGGGCCTTTTAGGGGGGCAGCAGTAGAGCCCCAGTATTACAGCTGCTCCATAAAATCTCTCATGCGCAGGCTACTATTTATTCCAGGGCCACTCCTGAACTCAGTAATTCTCTCAAGGGCCTAGTGGTTACTTACGAAATTAAGAACTGTAGTGCATGTGTTCCTCTGTATTTAATGTGTTTTCATTAATATTGTTTTTTAAATTTTGTTTATTCATTCCTTTTGACTGAACACAAAATGTACTAAAAGGGAATTGGAATTCTGTAATTCACTGTTTTACAGTTATTGCAAAAACTGGTTAAACATTCTCCATGCTTCTATTAATTTCAGTGACTACAAGTTCAAGTCAAGTGACACAGATTCTATCCATGAAAGTCCTGTGAGGACCCGCCGGCATTCATGGAGACAGCAGATATTTCTAAGAGTGGCAACCCCACAGAAAGGATGTGATTCTACCAGTTGGCATGATGGTAAAGAAGCTGCCTAAGCTGTGTTGTATATGAAGCAGTTGTCTTGCTTTTTGTTTTCTAGTTCAGATGGGTGGCAGCATCTTGTATTTCCAAGGATGCATGTATATAATTGCCAACCATTCTTTCTCCTATCATGAATTAGCAACTGTTTTTCAATGTCATTGCTCTTTCACACCTGCTCCACTCCTGTTCTTTCTCCATTAGAGTAACATTTTCATTCTCCTACTGAAGAGCAATTATAATTGCATTATATTGTACCAACAAAATCAAAATGAAGAGGTAAAGTCAGGAATCTTCTGAAAATATATTTTTATATCTATTAGAAACAGGCTCAAAAATGTCATTCAAATTGCACCCATATTTTTCAGGATTTCCTCATTGTTCTTAAAATAAAGACTACCTGATAAAGAACCATCATCTTTTGAAGCTGTCAAATAATGTACAGTTAATATACTTCTATTACTACTACTACTACTACTACTACCACTACTACTACTAATGATGATGATGATGATTGATGATCATGATGATGATGACTTGCCAGCCTCCAAAAAACCCATGGGAAGATCAGGTAGAGAAGGTGTCAAAAATGACAGAGTCATTATCTTGTGGGATTTCTGGAGCCAAACTGATTGACCCTTTGAACATAACCCACCAGACAGTAGTAACAGAGCGGAGAAATGTCTGGATAATTGATAATTGACATTGCAATTCTGGGAGATGCTAGAGTTGAAAATAAAGAATTGGAAAACTAACAAAATATAGAGACCTGGCAATTGAAATATCTTGTTTATGGATACGTATCTCCAAGCAGTGAAGTGACAAATGGTCCAAAAAACCAAAAAACCACTTGGTAGAAGTGTAAAAGTCCCACACTTAATGTTTTTCAATCTCATTTAATATAAACACATATATGCTTTTGTAGATATTGGCAGCAGATGTCTCACCAGCTACCCTCTTTGGCCCAGTTTTCTATAGTTAAAGTGGTTTGTCATTACTTTGGCACCAAATAATAAAATACAGGTGAAAATGAAGACCTTTATTTGCCCCATTGTTAAATCAGAAAGTCTCAGACCTGAACTGTTTTTTTAAGAGCCCTTTAGACCTTTATAGATTTCTAGGAAAAAATCAGAAGCCTGTGTTCATTACAACTAGCATTTATCCCTAGAAAAGGGTCCTGGAGCTGGTTCTTTAGCTTGCTGGTTCTTTAGCCACTCCAAGCCTGAAAACAAAATGCTGTACTCTCTTTATGGAATCCCCCATCCACCTAGAATGCCACCCATTATGCCCTCCATCATACCAGCCAAGCCCTGAAACATCAGGATTCCCTAGCTAAGGATGGCTATCTCCCCACTAAGGACCCATGTAGCACTCTCAAAACTTTGAATTATTTTTGTGCTAATGGAACATAGAAGCAATGTAGAAGAATAAGGTTTATAGAAATAATCAAGCTGATGTTGCCTGGCGTCATTCCAGCAACTTATTTTACCTTGATACCCAAATGAATTTTGATATGATTGGAAAGTCTGGTTCACACACCGAGATTAACCAAGGATGAGCACTTGGATTCAAAATTTTTGGAATTCACTGAATAATGTCAGATTTGGATAGCTCCAAATACATTTGAATAAAAATTGGATTGTTCTGAGTATCTGTAATAATAATTCTTATATATTCAGAGTCCCATTTATTCCTATAAATTAGACAGTAAAAGGCTGGGTTTCTGCTTGCTAGAGGAAGAAATGAAATGAAACTTAAAGTCATTCTGACACCAAGAGTAGTGGGAACAGAGAACTCAGTGTCTCCTTATTGGGCTTGTCACAGGTTTCACAGGGGAGGGGGGGCTGGGGTGAGAGCAAAGGTGGCATCAGCAGTGCTACTGGTGTTGTGGTTGGAAAAGAGATTTATGAAAACAAGAGCTCCCTCAGGACCTTGGTGCAGGCGCTGGTCATCTCCCAGATCGACTACTGCAATGCTATCTACGTAGGGCTTCCCTTGAGGCTTCTTTGGAGATTACAGTGAATCCATAATGCAGTGGTCAGACTGGTGGCTGGTGCGAGTAAGTTTGGCCATATCACCCTGGCTCTGGCTCACCTCCACTGGTTACCCATTGCTTTCTGGATCAGGTTGAAGGTTTTGACAGTACGTACAAAACTTCCCACAGTTTGGACCCATGCTACTTGTTGGAGCATCTTTCCCTTATGTCATCTGCTTAATCCACAAGATCATCTCAGTTGAGGCTCCTCTGGGTAGCCACCCGGAGGGATGCCCCTAAGTCATCCACTAGGAGTAGGGCCTTCTTTGCAATGGGCCCAACCTTGTGGAACCAGCTTCTGGAGGAGCTTCACCTGGTCCCCTCCCAGTGGACATTCAGGAGGCGACTGAAGACATGGCTTTTCAGAGAGGCTTTCCACACGAAACCTAGCTGACTGCATTTTGTCAGCTATTTTGTTGTTCTGTAGTCTGTGCCTTCTGGTCTTATTGGTTAGTTGTTCTTTATTTTAAAATAGTTTTCATTTCATTTTGTTTTGTTTATTATAAACCGCCCAGAGTAGTGCTTCGGCACTAATGAGGAGTGGTATATAAAGTGAGTGAGTGAGTAAGCGAGAGCACCCAACATTGCCTTGCATATTCATATCATGCAGCTTGCTCATATTCAAGGAAGTATTTACCCCCCCCCCGCCTCCATTCCCAGCAAATCTCTCCTGTGCAAAGCAGCATGGAGGTAGGTGGGAAGTCCCTTTGAAATACATACACATCTGATGAGGGGGAGGAGGAGACTGAGTGGACTTTGGTGAGCACTATTTCAGAAGCACGTTACACTGAAAACACCCTACTTTCTCCAGCTGCACTTACCACACCAGTTGTGAAATGCTGATGAACAAAGTTGGTCAGGTACCAATTTGCTCTATCTGTATTTTGGTGCTACCAGTTTTTTCCTCCTCTTGTTTTTATTTTCTTATCATTTTGTACACACGTTCAGCTTTCATCTAGTTTATGAAAGATTATTTGAAAGGCAGCATTATTTTATATTGATCTTGCTTTCAGACTTTTTGCACTTTTAGTAAACTGTTAGTCAAACCTTAAGCACAGAGTACATTTTCAAGGTTTCATTTTTGCAATCTCTTTAATTGTTTTAGCACTCTATATATACAGTTTTTCAAATCTTGACACCAGTGGGCAAAAGGTGTAACCAGAAATAATCTGAGGCTACTCATAGGTAGAATTAATTTAATATTTATTTAAATCACAGAAAATAAACAGGGAATAAGATCCATGAAATGAAAGCACAATATAAAAGTAATCAAATGAAAATCAATGAATATCTAACAATATTGATGAAATGAAAAGTGTAATGCGGAACAATTTGGATTAAAATATCAGATTAAATTATAATTATGCAAAATCAGCCAGTTAACCCTTTGTAAAACACTATATTTGTCCCTAACATTTCACCAGTCCTCCAGTTAAAGCTCACTATGTTCCCAGCTGTGTAGTAGTCTTTGACCTAAAGACTGAAAAAGAAAAATATGCAGCTGCTTATTCCAAGGAACAGGCTTGTAAAGACTTGGGGGAAATGTGCAGGAAAATTGATCCAGGAAAATCAGAAGGAAAAAAGTAAAATAAAGTAGTGAGATCACTGGTGGGTGGGTGGTTGCATGTGTGTGTAAGGAATAAATAAGACATTAAGGGAGGTGTAGACTCTTCCAGAAGCCGTAATCTCACTCATTGTAAAAACAGAAGCTTTTCTCAGAATCAAGGCAATCTGAGGTTTAGAGGCCCCACACCAGTCAAAATCTGCAAAAGTAAAAATCACATGAGCAAAAGCAATACAAAATGCATGTGTGTGAGAGTGTGAATGAGTCTGACTCTGAGTCTCCTTGTCCCAAGCAACAGTTGCTTTTTGTTCCATTGATGACCCTAATTTTCCTCTATTCTGCTTGGCTTTCTTATCTTCATCCCTAAACCCTTTTTCCTTATTCCATTGTGCAAAAGTCTAGACTGGGAGAAATCCTTATCCCTTTTTGCCAACAGGAAGTGGTTCATTGTGCTGTTTATGAAACAAACCAGGGATTTCCTTGATGCTGCTCAGTAGGCAGGCCATTCCTTAAGTCAGTAATCCAGTTCATATGGCATGTATGTGTAGGCCTTTCCAACCCAGATGTCTACATGCCTTTTGCCAAGTGAACCCTTAGACCCTAAAAATAATATTCAATTAAAAATGGACTCCGCTCGTTTTATCTGTGTTGTGTTTTATTTATGTTGTTAGCCTACAGTCCCCCTCAACCCTAAACAGCCAGTAGCTGGGAAAGAATTGATGTCCAACATCATCTGAGAACGAACAGTTTCAAGCCCATAATTAAAACATCACATAAGTTGAAGGAGAAAAATAGATTGCTTTCTTTCTACCATGTACACTAGATGGTACTGTTTCCCTGCTTCTAAATATTGAACATTCAGATGATTTAGTTTGTCTCCCTTGTGCATTTTTACCAAAAATTGCAAATGTGATATTTGTATTATGATGTTCTAGGTTGCTTTTGAGAACTTTTCCATTTTTTCTTTGTCTACACATTGATAATTTAGATGTAAGTTTAGATTCTTATTTTGAAGAAGACACATTTCTAGAACTTCTAAGGCTAAAAGATTATGTGTGCAGAGAAATTGGCCATTGGCTCACTTTCTTTTCTCACCACTTACGGTATATTTCCAAAAAAGTCCTGTGATATTTGGAGGGCATTTGAGGAGGCTGCTGTTGAACAGAATTTCAAAATAAACATTTAAAAAGTGTGCATGTGTGTGAGAGTGCGCGAGTGCATGTGCATCATGTATAGCATTTTGTTAATATTTTAAGAACTACTGAAAATAAAGTTCAAATAAGCTTGATAACCTCCGTAGGGCAATTTTTGTAGGAACTATGTGATTAATCACAGAACGTACATGCAGCCATGATTTTTATATCAGGGATCCTGAAAATCTTTTTCCATACTTTAAAAAATGAGTTTATCTTCCTTATAACTGCTGAATGAGCATATTCTTATATATTCTGATATAGGTCTTACATACATCATGTATATGTGTCTAAATTAAGCAGATTTTCAGATACTTGCTAATTTTGAACAATTTAGTCTCTTGTAGCTACACAGAAGTAAAGCAATAGAAAAAAATAAAGCAATTTTACTAAATTAGCAAACTATGGTAGAGGGAAGAGGGTCAGTAAAATTTACTTTGCTGCTTTCTATTTTACTGACCCTCTCCCCTCCACAAACAAAATCTTGCTAACAGTTGTGTCAGTTCTGAATGGAGGTTCTAAGAAGTACGGTATCCTAAAACAAGTTATTAGGTAGTAATTTCTGGACTGAGATACTTTACAATTTTTTATGAAAGATTTTTAAAAATCATCTGGCTGAGAGCCAAACAAAATGCACAAATTGTTCTATATGCCCAAGATAGTTTCTAAAAATGGAAAGTTTTCTTGAACAGCAGACCCTGGTGTCATACAACCAACTATTTTTGAAAACAAAGAGGCTCTCCATATGAGTTTTCTATGCAGAGCTGAAGACAACTGTTCAAAGTGAAGAGTGAAAAATCCAATTGAGTGTAGCCAATGAGTCAGGCTCCTTTGCATGACAAAACTCTCAGTATAGATTTGTTTTATTCATCCTGTCACAAACATTCAATACTTCATTGGAAAAATTGCCCCAGAGGGAGACCACAGCTGCGATACAAGAATATCTGCAAGCGGGATCTGAAGGCCTTGGAAATGGATCTCAACAGATGGGAAACCCTGACATCTGAGCGTTCAGCCTGGCTGCAGGCGTTGCATCATGGCCCTCCCAATTTGAAGAGACCCTTGTCCGGCAGGCCGAGGCAAAGAGGCAGTCACGAAAGCAGCAAAATCAGGGAGCAAGACGGGGCACGGATTGTATTTGTCTTCAGTGTGGAAGGGATTGCCACTCTCGAATTGGCCTTCTCAGCCACACTACACACTGTTCCAAGTCCTCCATACAGAGCACAGTACCATAGTCTCTCGAGACTGAAGGATGCCTAATCTAATCTAATCTAAAATGATTAGTATAAAATGTTTTAATCCACATAGGAAGGCATTGGTCTCAGATAACTTGTCATGTGAGCAGTCTGAAGTGATCAGTGGTCTTTGTGACAACCTTATTGTGTTCATCAACAGCACGAAAGTCACAATGTGAGAACAATACTTTGTTACCACAGGTTTTTTTTCCTATGTGCATTTAGGAAATTGATATTTTACAGTATAATAAAATTCTTACATAAGGTTGGGTGGTGTGATTTGGAAGCCTAATACATATTTATACACATATAACAAACTTATGGATGCTTCTTTCGTGTTTCATTATCTTCTTAGACTGTTCTGAGTTGGGAGAACTTCCGCCCAGGTCACCATTGCAGCCGGTTTGTGAAGATGGCCCTTTTAGGACAGTACAAGAAGAGAGGAAAAGGACATCTAAGGAGCTTCGGGAACTGTGGCAAAAAGCTGTTCTGCAGCAGATACTACTACTTAGGATGGAAAAGGAAAATCAGAAATTGCAAGGCAAGTAGATGGAAACCTAGGGACAGGGCTGGGGAACCTACACCACTGCAGTTGTGTCTATGGCAATCAATAAGTGCTGTAGAGATATGGAAGATAGCATTTCTCTCATGTTTATTCAGAGTCTCTTTTCCCAATAACCTGTTCTGTTTGCTTTCCCTCTCTGGCTGTACTTTACCCATAGCTTGTTTACTTTATCTTAATAGCCCCTTTGCTTGTTTTGTCAATGGCAGTTCTTAGCCTGGTTCCTGGAAGTGCTGATAATATGTTTAAATTCCATCTCCTTTGAACTGTGTCTTTGGTTTCTTTGGCTCCACCTGTTTATGTTTAAAGCAATGGTCATCATGGTATCTATCAGCATCCTCTTTGGTCTTTTTGAGCAAACTCTCCAAGGATTTGTCCTTGTGCTCTAATCCACTGTTTTAACTAGACTTACTGATGGAAATTGCATATCATTTACAACTATCATAAAAATGTCTCCTTTCGTACTACTATGAATATGACCAAACACTAATTTAAAAAGCAAAATCGGAGATTGGTGAGCCATGCAGTCCTTTTTGAAGCCACCCTTTTCAAATGCACCCTTTCCCCATCTTCTGTGCCTGTGAACAGGCACAATGATCTGTGTCTCTGCTGCTCTTTGGTGCCCCTTTTTGTTCTTCTTCACATGTAGGATCACAAATTGAGTGAGATGATATCACAGTTATGCATTGGCCATGAAAAGTGTCTTCATGACCTTGGTCAAGTGAAGTTGAGGGAAAGGACGTCTCAGTGATTGAATGGCTTTCCTTCTGTTCAGGGCTGCAGCATAGTCTAGGAGAAAAATAAGTAGGTGATATGGGGGTACTTCCCTATCATCCTCTCCTGTGTTGCAAAGCTATGGCATAGGTCTTCTCCATAAACAATGTTAGCCCTGTTCACAGTCCTCAGCAGAAATTATTTTTAGGTTGCTTATTAGTGAAGTGGTAGTGGTGGAGGGGGGTAAAAGAAAAGACTCCTGTGCTCAGAACTGTAGGAGAAGAAATCTATGATATGGGATGCAGTAATTAATATAAATGATGTTACAGAATATAGCATTTTCCATTATATTGGGTAAAGCTATGAACTGTTCAGTGAACAATTAATAAGCATAGAATGACTAGACAAGTATCATAAAATAATGGCAAAATGTCACCTGAAATAGTTGATGAGGTGAGGAACTGTTGTATGTATCTTCTCACAAGTACATTGGCACTGCAATAACTTAGAGGCAATCGAAATAATAAAAAGAACCCTAAATGTCTCTCATGCAAAATATTTCAAAATCTATTCTGAACTTGTGAGTTATGCTGTTACCATAAATTGTTCTATCAGAATCAGCAGCAAGGTGGGGGAAAGATCCTAATTCTTGGCCCACATGTACCTTTCAGCGTGCCAGTGATTTTGGCAGAACTGGCAAAATCCAATTAGAAAATAGGCATTCTTCGTTGTGTAAACTGATTTGTGATGAATGAATAAGCTGTCCAAGGCTTCACTTCCCTGCAGATTATCTCAGTGCTATAATAATGGAAGTGCTATTTTGATTATACATTATGCTATTAAATCATCAATGTGACAGCTTTCTTATGACGTATTGGAATAGTATGTCCCAAAATGACAATGTGCTAGTAATGTATCTTCAGAGAAATGGCTTGTTACCCATATATCAGACTAGACATCATTAAAGGAATAGTTATGGTCTTGTCCATTATTCTTCTTAAATGTAGTTCCAAATTATGCTCAGATCCAAAAAGCCCTTTTAATGCTGCCCTGTAAGAAAAAAAGAAAGGTCCTTTAACTTCCCTTGTTTTATTTCCATTTCTCTTTTCCTCAGTTCTTGTGTTCTCCTTTGGCAGATGATAGTCCCCATGCCTTTCCATCTTCAAAGCTGTCTCCATTTTTTTTGTCTTTGAAATTGAAGTTAATCTGTGTGGCATTTGTCCAAGAGGCCTTAAAGCAAAACCTTTCATTCCTCCCAAGAACTGAGAACCTCCCAACAGGCAGGCGTTTGAGTATCTGTCTCTTAGACTGACAAGACTTCACAGATACAGTTGGGAGGCTCAAGAGCTCTTTCCCAACATAATCCCCCCACCAATTTTATTTCTTTATCTAACTTTGAACCCACCCAGAGCCTACCTGCCCCTGACACTGACACTTTTCTGACAAGAACACTGGCCATATGGCCTGTGTATGACAGCTGCCAACATGGCTACATCATAACCCATTTTTCAGCTTAAAATGACTTTCAGCTCACCAAAGCACTATGTGCCATGCCTGCCTGTATCATTTTCCATGTGCAAACTGTACAGCTAATGCAGGACAGACAGGTGAGTCCTCTCAGTAACTTACATGCAGTAAATGATTGGTAAGGACAAGCCCTGTGATGTCATGTCTTGAAATGCCCGTAGTGAATCTTGGCTGTAAAACAGCACACTGAATATGAATCACTTCTGTTGTCATGGTTCTGTATCATTCTTTCCCTTTCAAAGTTGCTGAAACATGTTTATCTTCTTTTTCCCTTGTCACAGTTCATTAGGCTGATGTTTTCAGTTAACTATCTTAACTATCTAAGAGCCATTTATCTTATGTTGAATGTAATGTGCATCTAAAAATTTTTTCCAGCTTCTGAAAATAATTTGCTGACAAAGCGCCTAAAGCTTGATTATGAAGAAATCACCCCATGTCTCAAAGAAGTAACGTTGGTCTGGGAGAAAATATTAAATACACCAGGGAGATCAAAGATTAAGTTTGACATGGAAAAAATACATTCTGCTGTTGGAAAAGGTGAATATAATTAATTATTTGATGAATCAGATATGCCTATACAGTATTGGAATCAGAATATTTACTTAGATAACAGGTGATAATTGTGTGTCAGTATTTAACAGGTGACATAGAGTTGCTTGAACTATAGCTATGGTCTTCCTAAACTAGACCAGGAGTATGGAGGTAATATGGACAAAGCCATTTATGAAGGAATTATTCATTCTTACTGTTACATTCATATAGTGGAATAACTATATGTTCAGACTCAATTCCATCTGCAATATGGGAAAAATAATACTGTTAATTTATGCAATTGTAAGGATTGCAAATACATAATGCATGTGAAGAGCATAGAGCTACAAATTTACATACAATTTTTTAGTATTATTATTGTGAATATTAATACTGGGATCAGTTAATTGATTTGTAGTATTAGTTCCATAGATCATATGCCTATTCATAAAGCATAATGTACTTTTTAAGGCCATTATAGATAGGGTTGTTGCATTGATTCAGTTTTCTGGACAGAGGAGAAAAATCTATGGAGTATGTTCTCTTTTCTGTTCAACACAGAGCTACAATTTTATCAGTTGACAAGATGATAACCAAGATTACCAGAACTGTGCCAGCATAATAGATTAGTAGCCTCTCACCACCTAGTGTTAGAGAGTGAGAGACTTAGGGCAGGGGGAAGTGTTTTGAAACCAATAAAGGAGCTTACAGTTCCCATAAAGAAGCCATTGACTGTGATACTCTGCTGCCCATCATGACATTCCTCTAAGACAATTAGGACTTCATGTCAACACCTGTGCTGCTGGCACCAATTAGCTGTGTCTGTCTTTCTTTCCTTCCCCTCTCTTCTTTTCAGGGAGAATCACTGGATGGAACAGCAAACTTCCCCTGTTTTGGACATCTGAGCCCATAAAGCCATGGCTCAGTGGTCTAGCATATTGCTGAGCAGGAAGAAGGAGGCTGTGCTTTGTTTCCACTCCTCCAAAATGAGCCCACTCTGACAACCTTTTTTTTTCCCCACAGCCTTTTGCAGAAGAGTGCAAATCCCTTTATAGGTGGCATGGGTGGTGTAGATAGGAGACAGAATTCATCACAACTGCTGAGCCAAATGAGTTGGCACTTCAAGTCAAATCTGTGGGCTTCTGTTGATATGAAAGTGAATAGTGGTGTACATTCGGAGATGCATCTGATTATACCACCAGCCTCAATTGTTTGAAAAGGGGCCAGTAATTTGAAATCTTACATTGCAATTCAGGGGGACACAAGTTTTAATCTTATTCCTCTTGGGTGATAGTTCTTATTAGTCAACTTATTTGTGACAGATCAGGTCTGATGCACAAGAAGGGGACACAAACATTTAAGAAAGAAGTCCAAATGAACAGACTTAACCATCGTCACAGTGCATTATATCCCCATACTAAAAAGTGAGGGGCATCAGTTTGGATCTCTGTTCTGATACATATAGCTTGTTTACCTCCATCTATATAACAGATATCTATGTTACTGGTGACACAGTACACAGACCTGGTACACAGAACTGGTAGACAGGTCTGTGAGCATAATCTTACACATGCTGTATGCTGTTTTATGCAAGAATCCCATCTCTGGAGTGGGTTAATAATCCAACAAAACATCTCTAACTTCTCCAAAACGAATTAACGGAGGAGCATTGTTAAAACAAAATTGTGTCTTTTGTTTAACCATCTGCTTCTCAAATAACATTGGATAATGGGACAATGGGAAATTAGGCTCCTTTTAAAATCTGTTTTGGTTAAAATCTTTTGCTAAATTGTATCCAGCCTACATTGCATTTGGATAATTCAGGAGGGAAGGCTTGACTACCTCAGAATCCTGTGTCTGCCTGACTCTCTGATCTCAATATTTAATAACCCCGAACATATATCTCCTTCATTAATAAAAACTTAGTAAGATAACTTACATGAGTTAAGGCAGTGGTTCTTAACCTTTGTTACTCGGATGCTTTTGAACTGCAACTCCCAGAAACCCCAGTCAGGACAGCTGGTGGTGAAGGCTTAGATAACTTACATGAGTTAAGGTACAAATGCAGTTATGTTGGGGAAAATTTGTTTATGCAGTAATAGACAGAGTGTAATGTTCCTTCTCAAGTTCCTTCTTATTTTCCCTTGTTTCTTTGGAAAAGGAGTCCCTCGGCATCACCGTGGTGAGATCTGGGTACAAATGCAGTTATGTTTGGGAAAATTTGTTTATGCAGTAATAGACAGAATGTAATGTTCCTTCTCAAGTTCCTTCTTATTTTCCCTTGTTTCTTTGGAAAAGGAGTCCCTCGGCATCACCGTGGTGAGATCTGGAAGTTTTTAGCAGAGCAATACCAGTTTAAGCATCAGTTTACAAATAAACAGCAGCCAAAGGATATCCTACCTTACAAAGAACTCTTAAAACAGTTGACCTCCCAACAGCATGCAATACTTATTGACCTAGGTGAGTCTGGGGGGAGGTAGAAATAAAAAGCTTTTTCTTGGTGTTGGTATGAAGAAGTAACATATTTAGCTTTAACGCATTGCTTGTGAGTTTTGGTCTTGATGGTGTTAGTTCCAAAAAAAAACTAGTGTCAAATTGTAGAAACTGCATCTCCTATAGTTTCAGAAGGGAACTTCTGGTAAGTGACCATTGTCCCATTTTTATTAATTTATGCATAGAGCTTTAGTGCATTAATTTTAGTGCATTGCTTGTGAGTTTTGGTCTTGATGGTGTTAGTTCCAAAAAAAAACTAGTGTCAAATTGTAGAAACAGCATCTCCTATAGTTTCAGAAGGGAACTTCTGGTAAGTGACCATTGTCCCATTTTTATTAATTTATGCATATAGTTAGGATAACAGCTCTTTAATCTTACTTATTATGGGATTTCCATTCTGGGAACTGACCACCACCAATACCACTATGCAGTTTGTGCTTTCAAAGTGGCTTTCAAAGCCTTTGAGCCAAACAGGAACCATTGAATAGGCCTGTGGGGTGTCTCTTGGAACAGCTCCTGCACTGGGCAAGGAAATAACTGTAGACCAACACAAGCTTCTCTTCCAGTTGGGAAGCAAATCATACTATTTGTGCAGAAACACTAGGTCTCTTGCCGATCTTGGTAGTGAGCAGCCAGATGTAGAAATCAAACACAGCCTGCCTTCCTAGTACATGATATATAAAGCTTTAATCTACATTCAGGAAGACTTAGCTTATGGCTTTGCCTTTGTGAAAATATGATCTCTGATAATATCTGACAAGGCAGCAACATCAGGAGGGCAGAACATTCCCCATCTCTACTATATACAAAGTTCATTGGACCACCCTTTTCTTTGTTTTTACTAACATAACAAGATTTTCCAACTTGCTTCATTTCATAAGTTCGTAAACTTGGTTATAAGGAAATGGGGATTTCAAGTGGCTGTTTGACTGGTGTTAAAAAACATGTCATACAGCAGTGCAAGTAAAACTTTTCTAGTGGGTAATGGAAGAGCATATTTGTCTATACTAGGTGGTATGATCAGGAAATGACTCTTCTCTTCAATGATTAGATTTATTAATCTGTGAGCAGTTTTTTAGCCTCATGCAACTCTGAGCTGACCTTATTAACCCTTCTGGTGCTGAACAGGGTCCCTTTTTTGTAGTACCACTGAGGGCATGGAAGCAGTGACCTTGGTGCAGTCCAGAACATCATCTCAGTGAGGCTGAGCAGAGTTGCTTGGATGGCAGAAAGGTGAACACTTCCCCATACACAATCCCGAGCCTCTGTATCTCTCCTGTATATGTGCGCACCCATGTACATGCAGTCCCCTGTCACCACTGGATTCTGCCCATGAGGCTGAGAAGGTTGTGCCTCTTTGGTATGCACCATGAGAAAAGCCAGAGGCTTAAAGTAGAAGAGACTGGCTTCCCACAGACAATTTCTATTCTGCTTCCCTAGATTCCCAGTTATGTATGTGCAACAGAGATAATGAATGGATTCTAAACTGCAGGATTTATTTAGAATTTTAAGCAAAAGCTTGTAAATCTATTTCAAAGATGAAACCAATTTCTCTACAATGAAACAATGCTATGCTTTAAGATTAACAATTTCTGTTTTAACCTACTGCCCAAAAAGCTACCTGCAGAGAGCTTTTCAGTCTCACAGGTAAAGCAGAAATGTGAACAGCCACCTAATGGTAACTAATGGTTGGTGGCAGCTTAGTAACTGTGTGATAGATCCCAGTAGGTCTGGGTTTGTCACAGTGAACACTTCCCCATACACAATCCCGAGCCTCTGTATCTCTCCTGTATATGTGCGCACCCATGTACATGCAGTCCCCTGTCACCACTGGATTCTGCCCATGAGGCTGAGAAGGTTGTGCCTCTTTGGTATGCACCATGAGAAAAGCCAGAGGCTTAAAGTAGAAGAGACTGGCTTCCCACAGACAATTTCTATTCTGCTTCCCTAGATTCCCAGTTATGTATGTGCAACAGAGATAATGAATGGATTCTAAACTGCAGGATTTATTTAGAATTGTAAGCAAAAGCTTGTAAACCTATTTCAAAGATGAAACCAATTTCCCTATAATGAAACAATGCTATGCTTTAAGATTAACAATTTCTGTTTTAACCTACTGCCCAAAAAGCTACCTGCAGAGAGCTTTTCAGTCTCACAGGTAAAGCAGAAATGTGAACAGCCACCTAATCCTGCTTAAATAATGACTGCAATGTTTGTGGAGCAATTCACAGCACACTGTGAAAGAATCCAAACACTGCACCTGAGAGTATTTTTGTTCTGCTGATGATGATTGGCAGCAAGCCTCTGCATGCATAGGTGAGGGGGGAGACAGAGCAAGTATAGTAATAATAGAGTATAATAAATCTAATAATCAAAGAGAAAAATCATTTTCTGATCATGCCACAAACATGGACAAAAGTATTTCAAAATGTGTCCAGCTATACCTTTGCTTTAACCTTCTGTTTCTGCACCTGTTCCCAAACCCCATATGTTGTGTCAGGGAAGTGGATACAGAACCTCCAAGGGACTTGCTCTGTTGGAACTTTGTTCACTTAATCTAGAATCTGCTTTATTGAAACAGATATCATGTTTCTATCTGGCAAAGCAAGAATTGTTGTATTTCTGGAAAAAGTTACTTTTTTGGACTACAGTTCCCACAGTACTGCAGCCATCAAGGCCAGCAGCTGTGCTTGCTGTGTGTTATTCTTGAATTTATAGTCCAAAAATCAGTTTTCCTCATGTGCGCTCTACAGTAGCAAGAAAATATGACTTTATGGTTTCTTAGATAAGATAACCTGAAGTTTCTTCTTTGTGCCATATGGCAGCATGGCACAATTACATTCAATAATATCTGTTTTTCTAACTTTGTTCCCCCCCCCAGGTCGCACCTTTCCAACTCATCCGTATTTCTCAGCCCAGCTTGGAGCTGGACAGCTCTCACTCTATAATATCTTGAAAGCCTATTCACTCTTGGATCAGGAAGTAGGTTACTGCCAGGGCCTTAGTTTTGTAGCAGGTGTGCTGTTGCTTCATATGAGTGAAGAAGAGGCTTTCAAGATGCTCAAGTTCCTTATGTTCGACATGGGCCTCAGGAAGCAGTATCGACCGGACATGACAATTTTACAGGTTTGAGCTCCTGCTTATGTTTCATTTACATTTTTGATGTTAATACAGTGACAGAAGAGGTTTATATTATATTTTCAGCATTGAATGATAAAAAGGGGATGTTTATGATTACCTATATGTTCAGGGATTAAAAGGAAAGACGCAAAATTGTAGTTCATCAAAGCTTATACCAGACAGATCTTTCTAGTCTTTAAAGTCCTGCAGAGCTGTTTTTACTGCAACAGATTAACACAGCTACAGCTACCCCCTCCCTAAAAATTGTCAGTTGCATTTGATGAAGCTGAGACGATTCAACACTGGATCATCTTGATAGATCAGTAGGTTACCAGTAGCCACTGTTTATCTCAGGACAGGTTTTCGCCAGAGAAGGCTAAAATTTCTCTGGTAGAACTGTTTTAGAAAAATGCTGGTGATCTTTGCACAACAATACTAGATTATGCAGAGGTTACTTTCTGCTTGGGAGTAAGGTAAAGGTAAAGGTTCCCCTTGACATTTAGTCCAGTCGTGTCCGACTCTAGGGTGCAGTGCTCATCCCTGTTTCCAAGCCATAGAGCAAGCATTTGTCCGAAGACAGTTTCCGTGGTCACGTGGCCAGCGCGACTAGACATGGAACACCTTCCCACCGAGGTGGTACCTATTTATCTACTCTCATTTTTACATGCTTTCAAACTGCTAGGTTGGCAGGAGCTGGGAAAAGCGACAGTAGCTCACTCCGTCACATGGATTCGATCTTACAACTGCTGGTCTTCTGACCTTGCAGCACAGAGCCTTCTGCAGTTTAACCCACAGTGCCACCACATCCCTGGCTTGGGAGTAGGCAATATTAAATGGATATCTCTCTTTCTCTCTCATTTTCTCTCTGTGTTTTGAGTTTATAAGTGCTCATTTATAGGTCTGAATATTTTGGATGATGATCTTTAATATGCTTTTTAAATATATTTCTGCATGACTGCAGGGGAACATTTCCAAATTGACTGGAGAATTAGACTATGATGAATGAAATTTGTAAACTTTGTTGTGTTGTAGGATGTCATTCTGAGCTACATCTTCTTAGTAGACTATCAAGTTGTCTTATTCTATGACAAGGAAGAGAGTAAAGGGAAGCATTTGAAAGTCTGCCAAACCAGAACTCTTTCTGCATTTGGGTTCAGAATATTGAGTATGTAGGATGAAAGGAAGAACTGGCCCTGAACTGTTATGTCTGAACAAACATTTTGGCAGCATAGAACATGACCCTATCTACTAATATCTACCTGAAACCTCATACTTACCCTTTCTCATCAATCCATGCGGTTCTGCACAGCTACATAATGCATGTATGTGAAAGATTTAATTCAGCAGTGCTTTGTCATTTGTGCATCTCTTTCTTGTGGTCATACTAACTATGGTCCACTTATAAAGTGTTAAGGATCACATGCAACTTGGAGTTCCTATTTCACTAACATTTAAAAAATCTTTTATTTGCCCTTGCAGATTCAGATGTATCAACTTTCTCGGCTCCTTCACGATTACCACAGAGATCTCTACAATCACTTTGAAGCACATGAAATTGGGCCCAGTCTATATGCTGCTCCCTGGTTTCTTACAATGTTTGCCTCTCAGTTTCCCCTGGGGTTTGTAGCTAGAGTGTTTGGTAAGTCACTGTTACTCTTAAGGATAAGTTGGAACCATATTTTATATCTTTTTCTCAGTGACCATTAAGGATATAACTTGTTTGAAAGTAAAGAATGAATGAATTTATTTATTACGGTCAGGTGACCAGCTCATAAAACATATTTATGGCTAAAATATACAAAATGCAGTTTAAAAATGTACAGCCAATTCATAAAACATATTATGTGGACAACAAATAATTAATTGTGTACTGGTTGTAAAATATGGGGAGAATCAAATACAGCATTTTTATAGCTATCCTTTGAACCATTGGATCATCTAGGGCAAACTGATTTGGAGAGGGTTTTTGGGTTATAGGGAGTCCTTCCAACGTATTTGTAAAGATCTGTAAATATTTCCTCCCTTTGGTTGGGACCACAACATTTCTCTACGCTAGACAATAAACCATCCTCATGCTAAAACCAGTCAACCTGTGAACTCAGGAGACTATAAGGGAGCGCTGTGCCATTGCTGCTGCACAAAATTTTGCTGCAGAGCTTGTAATAAGGGAGTCTTGATCGGAAAGAAGTAGCTTGATATAAAATTCATCAGGTTTCCCTGGATATCTGAGAATGATTTCACTCAGGAGGTTGATGTGTAGATCTCTATAGAAAAGACAGTGCAGTAAAACATGACCTACAGTTTCCACTTGGCCATCATTACATGGACACAGGCAATCCAAGACAGGTATATGTTGAAATCTTCTCTCCATGAGCTGATAGGGTAAAACATTAAGTCTCACTAATGTGAAGGCTCTTCTGGTCTTTGTTGACATTGTGCTCGTCAAATATGAAGATATTGTAAAGGCATTATTAGTGACAACACTGTATTTGTCTGAACACTTTGAAAGTAAAGAGGTTTTTTCCTTTTTTATGACTGTGAAAATATTGGCAAAGAGATGGATAGAAACACTATTAGGAAACAGAGACAGATAAATTATGGTAAATGCAGATACTTGCATTCCACCCTGTTGAACTCTTTATTGGCATCTGTTGATAGAAGCAAAAATGATTTATTTTGCTGCCTTGCGTAAATTGTATTTTGTGTCCTTTGAAACCCATCAATGAGTTGCCTTAAGGAATAAATCTACTCAGGAAATTCTGAAAACAATGTATGTATGTATTTGCATTGTGGTTAATGCATCTGATTTTTTGAAATAGCAATATTTGTCTTGTTTGTAAAAATGGACTTGTTTTAAGCAAATCCCAACAAATAGCCAATTGTTTAAATAGTTCACAATCATTAGAGTGCCATTGTTTTTTATCAAAGAGATTTGAAATGACCAAATTTCTCAAGGCCACTTTATTAATTTGTGATTAGCATTCTAATCTGAAATATTTTGAATGATTTGAATACCAATTTTGACTCCATTCCATGATTGCCAAAAATTTGATGGAAATCCTAATCTCTTGCTAAATCAGTTGATTTCATCACATTTTAGTATGAAGTTAAGTTGAAACATGAAGTAAATAACACATTGTGATTATATTCCAACATTATACTTCATAACTGTTCATAATAAAACATGAACTTTGGCATTGCTTATTAGTACTCTGGTTCAATGCAAATAAAGTAAAGCATGTTATTGGGACGTGGGAAGATGGGCCCCTCAGGTCGGATGGTGTCCAACATGCTACTGAGGAAGAGCGGAGGACAAGTACAAGTAGCTCTAGTGCTAATGAAGTGGTTGGGCCAAAGCCAAAAGGACGCTCAGCTGTGGAGACACCTGGAAGTGAAAGGAAAGTCCGATGCTGCAAGAAAAATACTGCATAGGAACCTGGAATGTAAGATCTATGAACCGTGGTAAGCTGGAGGTGGTCAAGCAGGAGATGACAAGAATAAACATCGACATCCTGGGCATCAGTGAACTAAAATGGACAGGAATGGGTGAATTCAGCTCAGATGATTATCGTATCTACTATTGTGGGCAAGAATCCCATAGAAGAAATGGAGTAGCCCTCATAGTCAACAAAATAGTGGGAAAAGTTGTACTGGGATACAATTTAAAAAATGAGAGAATGATTTCAATACAAATCCAAGGCAGACCTTCCAACATCACAGTAATCCAAGTTTATGCACCAACCACCAATGCTGAGGAGACTGATATTGACCAGTTTTATGAAGACTTACAACACATTCTGGAACAGACACCAAAGAAAGATGTTCTTCTCATTATAGGAGATTGGAATGCTAAAGTAGGGAGTGAAGAGATAAAAGGAACAACAGGGAAGTTCGGCCTTGGAGTTCAAAATGAAGCAGGGCAGAGGCTAATAGAGTTTTGTCAAGAGAACAAGCTGGTCATCACAAACACTCTTTTCCAACAACACAAGAGATGACTCTACACATGGACATAACTAGATAGGCAGTACCGATATCAGATTGATTACATTCTCTGCAGCCAAAGATGGAGAAGCTCTATACAGTCAGCAAAAACAAGACCTGGAGCTGATTGTGGCTCTGATCATCAGCTTCTTATAGCAAAATTGACGCTTAAACTGAAGAAAGTAGGAAAAACACTGGGCTAGTCAGGTATAATTGCACTCATTTCACATGCTAGCAAGGTTATGTCCAAAATCCTACAGGGTAGGCTTCAGCAGTATGTGGAT